ATGTTCTACCTAGTATTTTCCTATGATAACAAAATGTTTGTATCGAGTCCATTTTAATAAATATTTCCTTTTCCCTGTAGCGTGGCCGTTGGCGACTTTAGAGGCATTGACATTTGACGGTACGGTAGAAGTTATAAGAAAAAATTTTTTACATGATATAAAAAAATTTCGTTAAAGGGTTAAGTAAAGACTGAAGAAAAATTATTTCGTCAGAAAAATTTTGAGCCTTTCAGGTAAACTAAAAAAGCATTTATTCCGAAATTCATCACAAAAAAAAAAAAAACAGAACTGAATAATGCGTTACCTTGTTTAACACACAGTCACACACGACCCAAGTGATGGGCAAACTGCGAACTGACGTCAAACGCTGGCGGCATTACTGACGATTTGCTAAAAGTTCAACTTTAAAAATGTCTCTCAACAATTACTGACACGGCTTTCAATTAAGATTAACAAGACGTGATTACATTTTTTATGAATTCATAATTTCGTAGAACTTATCATTCTGCAGCGGAGAAATATCAAACAGCTTCGTCACACGCATTAGTTGAATCTATTAAAATTTGTTTATTATTCAACATCCATAAAATTTATAAGTCTTTTACCAATACCATGATTATGATTATTTTACTTATGTATTCTAAAAGGAATTTTGGTGTTTAACATATGCTGTTTGAATAAATGTAAAATTTGATGCACAAATTTATTTTTTCTTGATTTTGAAAGTGTTACGAATTTTTTAGTTTGCAAAATTTGTATGCTGTATTATTATTCATCGATTGATGAATTTTTACGCACAAATACGCTTGAAAAAAGATGAGATGAAATGGAATAAATTATTATTCAACACCCTTGGGGTACGCAGCCGTGCACCACTAAATTTGTGCACCAATCAGCCTTGAAAGGAACGCCTAGCATATTTCCGGATGACCACCGTGGATTAAGCCATCCGTGGGTAACCAGCCCGTGACATCATCTTGCTTTAAACATAAGGAGCTTTACGCCACCGTATTCTGAAGCGAATAGCCCAGAGAGTAATGGTTGTCCACCACTGAACCATGCATCGAATCATCACTTCATACCCTGACTTTAGCTCGAACTGTAGCTTGAGGACAACGGACTGCGACCAACCAGCCCAGGTCGCCAGTGGAACTGCATGCATCCTGCCGTGCACCACCAGACCGTCACTTTTAGCTCAACATCCGGGGTTAGGTTTCAGAAAGCATAGTTCTGTTCCAAACTATATCGTCCACCGGCGAGTGACTTCCGCAGCTTCGCTAAATTACGTAACCTTTAGCTCACAGCATCTGGGGTTAGGTTCCAGATAGCATAGTTCTGTTCCAAAATTTATCGTCGTACGACGCGTGGCCGTTCGACCGTGGGCTGATTCGACACACGGGACAGATACGGACGGCTCCGGCGCTCTCCGTCCGGGTGGTGTAAAATTTTTTCGCGTGTTGGCAGACGACGCTGGGCCATACTACGTCAGGCTACTGTCCTGTGGGCTGATTGATCTAATTCAATGGATGTGATCTGTCTGATGACGTGCGGCTGATAATGTCACAGTCAAGATGTGTTGTAGGCTACGTTCTTCAGGGAAGGGATCATGATAGTCCATTCGAAGCGCGGCAGTGGTGGTCTCCGACAGGCGTCCCCACCCTTGCATACTTTTGATTTCATAATTGCGGGAAGGTATTACTCGATCGACAATTTTACGGACTCGCCAGCGGACTCGCCTGCGGACTCGCGCAACCGGGCCACTCATAATTCCTTAAATACTTAACGGATCTGTATGAATTTTTGAATGTGAGTATTAATTATCGATACGCTGCCGCAGGAATTATTACAGATTTTTACATGAATTATTTTTTAAATAAAACCAATAAACGTATTTTTTTAACAACTGGGCCACTCATAATTCCTTCAATACTTAACAGATCTGTATGAATTTTGGAATGTGAGTATTAATTATCGATACGCTGCCGCAGGTATTATTACAGATTTTTCATGAATTATTTCCTAACCTAACTTAACCTAACCTAACCTAATAATAAGTCATGTAAAAAATCTGTAATAATTCCTGCGGCAGCGTATCGATAATTAATACACATATTCCAAAATTCATACAGATCCGTTGAGTATTTAAGGAATTATGAGTGGCCCAGTTGCGCGAGTCCGCAGACGAGTCCGCTGGCGAGTCCGTAGAATTGTCGATTGAGTGAAGGTATTTACCTGTAATATATTGCAGATGTGAGACCGGCTGCGAGACCGGCCGCAAGTTCATTAAAAATTTGAAAAATAAGTAGATATTATCAATAATTTGTGGACGGATTTATTTCAGATATTTACATCAATTACTTTTTTAAATGCCACAAAATACGAAACTTGACCTGACTAGGACCCAACCTGCGAGGTGAAATTGAAGTTTCCGTATTAATGACAAAGTAATTCAGGTAAAAATCTGAGAAAACCGTCCATAAATTATTGATAATATCTACTTATTTTTAAAATTTGAATGAAATCCGTTCGGTATTGATGGATTTATGGCTGGCAGATTTGAAAATGAAGTTAGGTTTTCCGTATTAATAAAAAATATAACTCAGTAATCACTGTAGTTAGTGACAGAGAACGCATTTTCTCGTCGACGAAAACGTGAAGTCACGGACGGACGGACGGACAGACGGACATGGCGAGCACAATAGTGCATTTTTTCCATAAATGAGAAAATGCGCTAAAAAGTAATTGATGTAAAAATCTGAAATAAATCTGTCCGCAAATTATTAATAATATCTACTTATTTTTGAAACTTGAATGAAATCCGTTCGGTATTGATGGATTTATGGTTGGCAGAGTTGAAAATGAAGTTAGGTTTTCCGTATTAATAAAAATTATATCCTGTATATGATGTAAAAATCTGAAATAAATCAGTCAACAAATTATTGATAATATCTACTTATTTTTTTTAAATTTGAATAAAATTCGTTCATTATTGATGGATTTATGGCTGGCAGAGTTGAACGTCAAGTTGGGTTTTGCATTCGAGTGCGCAGGCCAGTCCGCACATGGTTGAACTAGTATAAAAATGAGATGTTCATTTTTGCGAATGGAGATTGTTGTTCGCATGTGACGTCACTGATCTTAGTGACATCACAGGCATTAACGAATCACCGAAATGTGTTCAAACCAGTCAACCAATCTGTCGTGGGAATGACGGGTTTGTTTACGTTTCTTGATCTACGTGACGTAACAAGACAGCTGAACTGAAAGGCGGAACTTCTCGTGGGTCAAACTTATATAGTTCAACCATGAGTTCGCACGCAAGTTCGCTGAAGTGTCGATTCGTTCCACAAGACGAGCCGTAAATTTGTCTGAGACACCAGATCGACACTTCAGCGAACTCGGCTGCGAACTGGCCTGCGCACTCAATGCAAAACCTAACTTCATTTCCAACTCCACCAGCCATAAATCCATCTCCAGCTCCACAACTCCACCAGCTCATTTGACTATGCAAATATAGTCTCGATATTTGCATGTAGAGATATTGGCGTGAACGAGAGGTCTGCAATCACTCTAACTTCTGTACTCATGGGTGTTCAAAACCTAATGAAAAGTACATAACACTTCACATAAAATATGCCATCATCAAACTCACGAACAAACGAGTAACCATTGATCACCAAACCCACTCAATTAACAGCACGCCGAGCGTACCTATACTCTGCAAGCTGGTATTAGGCTTCGAGTTTTATGGCTTTTCGCATATTTTAAGTGACTGGCAAACAACTAGAAGCGAACAGCTAAGCGTTTTTTATTTACAATTATTTGAACTATTTTAAAGCAGTTTCATTAATGGAAAATACTCAGTTTATATTATCACAAACTTCCACGTGGTGCGCAGTGTAAAAGTTTGATTATTCAAATTTTGTTCATTATGACTAAACTCCCTTCAATGCTTCTGTTATATATTTTTTTTTCGCTGCTACCCACAGCGCCCGATGGTCCCTGCAGTGGCAGGTTGGCGAGACGATCTCGGATCTATGTGATGACTACATTTAATTAATATAAATAAATAAATAAAATTCACTCAATTACGATAGACTACCGTGTATTGATCTTATGAGTACATGAATGTTTATAAAATAAATTCAAAGTTGATTTGATCCAGCAGTGTGATTCACATTCTGATGCAATTCCTGTAGAAGCAGCTACTATGTTAAGATGATAGAAAAAAGCTTTTTTTTCGTGCAGAGGCTATGATTCATCCATTACATTGAAAGAGGGAGTACAATTAAAAAACGGAAAAAGTAGAGAAGTTGCTCCTCCTCGTATAGACAATTCGAAATTGAAAAAAGAATCGGTATGTTGCTATTGCAGCCAGCAGGTTAATTACAATGCAAATACCAATTGCCATCATAGAATAAATCGGCGTGACGTAGCAAAGCGGTTCCTCGGATCCAATGAATGGCTTGTAGAATATGTAGAGAGCATATACATACAGACAAAGTGAGGAAAGGCGCTTTATCATAATATTGCTAAATTTTAACCCAAAAACCATTTGGTGTCTTCAGATTTTTAAATGTTAACTTATTTTTTTTTCTGGCCTTTCTGGCTTCATATTTAAGTGTTGCGCTTCAAAGTGCATAAAAGTTTTCAAGCCTCGAATGAGAACTGTGCTGTGTACCATCAGCTGTGCTGTGTGCCATCAGCTGTGCTGTGTGCCATCAGCTGTGCTGTGTACCATCAGCTGTGCTGTGTGCCATCAGCTGTGCTGTGTGCCATCAAGTCACGAAAAGTACAAGAATCGGCAGCAAGCCATGGGCCTATTTCTTCAGTGCCGACACTTCTTTTCTATTCCAACTGAAAAAGGCATCAACTGAGCCGGCTGCTGATGTAAGAATTTCTGTTGGCATTTTGAATGCATGCAACGTTTATTTAGTCAAAATCGTTACTAAGAACTGTATGTATAATTACAATCCCAATTAAACAAGCGTGTTGAAAATTCGGGTGCATGCAAAGAGAGGAACCACGGAGAACAAAGGTTGTTGCGCTGGTTCACAGGAAGGCTTGCACTTTGCAAGCGCAGATGCCAAATGATGCAACCTCGTTCTGCAGTCGAAGGTAGCGAACGTTTCCATCGGCAACTGAAACACAGAGTCATGAGTTTAATTCATTGCCCGCAAAAGATTCAGCGTATGCATACAATTACAGTGGTGAATATTTTAATAATGTGTAACGAAATTCATTCAGCCGTAACTGCGGCTCACTCGTATTTTGTTCGAGACTCTTGTCAAGACATGCTTCGTATGATTGAAATCGTTAACAATTGCCTAAACAAAACTTTAGGTGCTTTGGGGCATCGTAATACCCATTAACACATGGTTTAACCTTCTCGTGTATAAATTACACTGTGTTCTTCACTATTTACCTGAGTTGGGGCGCGAAAGTAGAATACGGTTGAGGAAAGGCACGAGTAAATGCATGCATCACTCACTGGCAAAGGTGTACGTAGGGTAGCTCATGGTAGCCGGAGTGCTCAAAGTTTGACCGATGAATGGGTCAGTCGTTTGGCCAGTGACGCCAGCCTGTACCCGACATTTCGACGAAACGATAATTATCCCATCAATCTGTTCAGTCACTATCAAAGAATGAAACCATCTATAGCGCAACATAGCCAATAAAAGGATAAAAGGTTCTCATCAATTCACGGATACGTCAATGCAGTCTGGCGATCGTGAAACCATTGCGCATATTATATGCCGATGCGCGTGTTATTTCAAGAAAACGTGGCTCTTGATTGTTATACCGGCACCAGCGTGTTGTGCGACCCAGCTAGGTGGGGCGCACTTAAAGGCAAAAGGCCGAGGACCAATGGATGCATAATGGAAAATGTCTACAAAAAATGAAGTTATAGAGTCAAAAAGAGAAAGTTACAAGATGTGATGAATAGGTTTTGTCTTGATGAAAAGGCGGCAAGATTGTGGCCTATATACTTCCAAAAATAGTTAAGAGATCGTAAATTCATCAGCCAATTATTGGCGGCCTTTCTAGCAAAATCCACCAATCACAGACAAGAAAATAGAGCGTAAGTACTTACGTTCACTTAGCGAGTTTTGAAAGCATGGCCCCAGATCTTTGGGCACAAAGTACGGCACACAAGCACAACTGATGAAAGTGATCATGTGGATCATCAAAGAGCTAACAGTCACATTTTTAAATTCACTGAACTTAACCTAAAAGCAAAATTCTCACCCGAAGAGTGACGTTTTCGAAGTAGGAGACGAGGCCAAGAGTTGGTCCGGTGATGACGACTTTCCTGATGGGTACTTCGGCCTGCAGATCCACCACTGCCCAGTTGTCGCTGCCACCGCTGCAGAAGCAATCCTTCCATGTCTGGTAGCATGTCGTTCCTGCAGTCTGGATGAAAACACGAAAGACTTTATAATTCAATTTCATTTTTGCTAGCCAGTGATCATTTAGAATAATTTCTTTACACGTCATATGAAATGATCTTTTTAAGATTTTTTAGAATATTCTAACTTGGAAGTGAAATTTCAGAATTTCATTGGCGCCAGCTTTAATAACGAATAACAAATGATAGTAATTTTCACGATTTTGTGCTATTGTGAAATTGAGAACATCTACATACCATTGCAATTTTCCTGCACACACTGTGAGGAAAACAATAATTTGCCAATGTTTACTTCATACGCAATCCTGAAATTGTACTTACATTTTATGATATTGCCGTGGATCGATCAATTAATTGATTTTTTGTCCATGCAAGGCTTTACTGAAGAAAGCAACATGATAAATCTTACATGTAACTTGGTGTGCCACTCATTTCAATGCCTTTCATTCTGAATTGTTTCTTAATACCTCAATTCGTTTTCGCTAATAACGAAAAATTTGAGAAATTTGTTCTTGCAGTGAAAAAACATCAAACTATGGAGCAAATAATTCATTTATTATACGTGAAAACCTCTCTTTGAGATTATCACCTTAATAAAAAAACATTACTTGCAAGGAAGCCTGTGAACTGTTCCACGTAACCCAACTAACTTATAATTTGGTGTAAAATTTAAGAAGCCTATAGTTGTAATGCCAATTCTAGTAGCTCCAGTAAAACATTGGATTTACGATTCATATCGTATATCAATGTAAACCGAATTCAAGCAAACAAAAGTGTTCCGAACAAATATATTAATCACTCCAATACATTAAAATTTTGTGTCGCATTAAGAGGTAATTTGATAGTGTCTCACCATCATAATTCCAGGTCCAAATCCACCAGATGTCGACCCCACGGACACGGGTTTGCCCATAGCGATGTCGATGACCGTAACGGGTGCCGTGCGTTTAGGCCAATACGCCACAACGGTGGGCCTTAGCATCGTCACCGCTCCGTAACTCGGGTCAGTTTGGAAAGACCACAAGGAGCACATGTTGCCTGTTGCGAGACGCACGCTTTTTTTAACTTGGATGTGTTTCATATGTTTTATTCGTAAATCCAAATGTCTAAAACCCCGAAAAGTGTATGTATGCTTTTATTTCAATAGGCACCACCAACGAATTTGATCATAGGGCTATAGATGTGATAACAAAAATGCAATACAGCTTCCATGAACTACCTCATCTCAACAGTTTTCTATAAAAAGTTCTTGCAAATGTCAGGCACTTTAGTAAATTAATATCATGGTATTGTTAGAAATGAACCCATTTTTTTGCAGCCTCTGTAGCAAAGAATTCAAATTTAAAATGTGGCAACATAATTATAAGCTCAATGTTATACAGGCCTGCAACAGAGAAGATGGTGCACGACGAATTCCGGATGCAGAAGCTGTAGCAGAGGATGGTGTTCTGGATCTTCAGTTGAGGCTGCAGGGGAAATACGACGGGCTGACACACAGTGCGGTACCTGGGCTCGTCGGCGAGGGCGAACTGCCAGAATAAAAGAATAACGAGTGACCAAAGAAAGAAAATTAGTAAAAGTAAGCCTTGATTCCTACTTACGATTCAAAAAGCTAATAACAATTTGTTAATATTTTACTACCTTCAACATGTCATGCAATGTATGAAAACTTCTCATTTTAATGTTGGTACTTCTGAGATACAAGATATTTCAAAATAAGTAAGTGATGATATGAGTATACAATTGTTAATTTGGTTGTTTTTAGGGCAGAGACCAGAGTAAGGACAGATTGAATCCAAGTTCGGTCAATCTAGTTTAGGCGTAACTGCCTTCAAATGACACAACATAACCAGACCCAACCTGACCTAATCTGACCTAATCTAACCAAACCTGACCTAATCTGACCTAACCTGACCTAAACTGACCTAACCTGACCCAACCTGACCTAACCTGAACTAACCTCAACCAACCTGACTCAATCTGACTCAACCTGACCCAACCTGACATTACCGGACCCAACCTGACACAACTAGACTCAACCTGACCTAACCTGACATAATCTGCCCAAACCTCACCCAGAAACGACTGAACACACATAACTGAAACTATTGCAGTCACTGCGAAGGTGTAAAATTAACATATTTCTCGAGTTTGATGGAGCGAAATTTAACAACTTCATTTGTGAATGTTAAAGGTTAAGAGAGGGTTAACTATTTCAGAATCGAGTGAACCAACATACTTTCAGTTATTACAGCCACTGCGCAGATGTAAAATTAACATGTTAATCTAGATTAGTGAAGACCTTATTTACTTTGTTACAGTTATCGATTAATTAACTAATTCAGAGAGAGCAAAGCACATATACTCTAACAATGTCTATAGAAATATTGCCGGTGGGGTTGTCTCCAAATGAAGACAGCAGTCATTATTAACATCGGCTTTCCTAGATATTTAAGTTTCTTCACTAGCTCGACCAAAATGTGATGTCCGAAGTAAAAATTTCGTTAGATTTTGAAACAGTAAATATGCGTACCTGTTGATAAGTTCCCGAAAGTATGGTTGACAACACATGGTGAAGGCAAGCGCTAAGTCCAATGATGACTTTAACATTTCTCACTAGGAAGTCCAGCTTCATTTTAAAAATAAAACAAACTTAAAGTGTCTATGTCTTTCAAAACCTAATTCTATATTTAGTGCAAAATAAATCTGGTACTAATAATCTGTTTTCATCGAATTGACAAAAGAATTTCATAAATCGCAAAAATGGATCGCTGAGCGCAAGGCGAAGTGCCGTAGCGAGACAGAGAAGTCGTTGCTGCTCGTCCTGCAGCTCCTAATGAACTAAAGGTGTCAGACCGCCCACAATTCTAGGCAAATGGTATCCCATTTGAAATTTTTCTATATGAATCATTTTCACCTCATCGAACAAAGCACTCACTGGGAGCATATTCAAAGTCACGGATGTTAGCGTTACAGGTATTTCATATCGAAGTTGACGATACGGTAGAATTTTCATCCCTCTAATTATACCATGTCATGCATTTACAGCTCATTTAGTTGCAGAGCATTTCAGTTGCAGATTATTTAGATGGAGCTTAATTTCATACGAGCTAATGCAGGCTCATGAATAAATAAAGTTCGCTCGAACTCATCTAACTTTGCCCAAGCCTCAGTTATCGACGTCTGCGTGGGGACCGCATTGAAGTATACAAGTATACTCATGGCTTATACAAGGTCCCGAAAGTATTACTAGAATTTAAAACAAGAACCAACACCAGGGGCCACGGCTATAAACTAAAAAAATGCGTTGTAACACATCCATGAGACAACATTTCTTTTCGCTTCGAGTCATCGACATGTGGAACATGCAGCCTCCCTGATAGCATCGTTGGCGCTCCGAGTGTGAATGCCTTCAAGAATAGACGAGACGAAGCTATGCAGGAGCATATGTTCAGTCTTAAAATGCCCAGCAAATTACGGACCAGGCAATAAGACTAGACGAAGCTATGCAGGAGCATATGTTCAGTCTTAAAATGCCTAGCAACTTACGGACCACAGGCAATAAGTCCAGCAGCTATCTCAATCAATCGTCAGTTCGGGTTCCAAAGGCCGGATCCCTTGTGAATCAAGTCCCGAAAAGTTCAAGAAGCGGCAACAGGCCTTGGGCCTATTTCTTCAACGCCGACACTTCTATTCTATTCTATGAGCAATCGCATGAAATATACGGCTTTTTGCAAGGCCGTTTATTATGTTGCAAATTCATCGAAAGTCGAACATTTTATTGACGTTTTGGTCGCACTTTTAATACGTACTGTGCATTTCGCATCGTTGTTTATTTTCAGTTTGGTTTCATTTTAATCCATGCAGTAATTGAAATAATTATTGTTAATTAGGTAATACAGGATATTACTGGCTTAACTGTGATAAGCATTACTACCTTACGGCACATTTTTCTTGTATATACACATTATTTTCATTCTTGTACATTATTTTCATTTCTAGAATACTTATCTATTTGTGTCCGTTTCAATATCATATTTGAGAATTGGCATCCGCATGAATGAAACGTATCCTCAGAGGTGGGCAGTAGCGCGCTACATGTGGCGGTAGCGGCGCTACATTTAAGCAATTGTAGCGGTAGCGCCCGCTACATTTAGAGCATGTAGCGGTAGCGGCCGCTACATTGCAAAGTAGCGCTGCCAGCTCTGCGTATCCGCATCAAGATAGTTGCATCCTTGAACAGTGGTGGAAGTTCAGTTCAAATTTATGCACTTTTTATAATAAGTTAGTATTAGATGGCAGAATAAGCTTGTTTAAACACGGGCGGTTAATGGTCAATTAATTTATTTATTTAAATCTTCAGGATCGAACAATATTCTTCAGATGACGTTGGTTGATCAAATTGCAGGTTTAAGGTGTAGTGATCTCGGCAGTATTGTTAGAATAAGATAAGATGTAGACATCTTGCTAACTTAATATTGTACATATTGTCATCCGTAACAATGGTCAGTTTGAAAGACTTCCGGATTTTCCCGGAGGCCTATTCCGAGCCCTTCATTCTTGCCCTGACGCCAACACGCGAGGTTCTCCGCCGTGCCTCTCCTTAGTAGTTCTTTATATGTGTTGTGATATCTATAAATTGGGCCTATTTACCATACATGTTGACATAAAACTAAATAAACACGAAAACTCGGACCTGCATCCTCCTATTACCCTACCTGCATTTAGGGAAGCATCAGTCTAATATAAATCGCCCGAGAAATATCAATTAAACGACTAGTCCTCCCCAGTCTTCAGTGAGATAACCCAGTCTTCCCAAAAAGGAAGTAATTTTGATTTATTAATGACGTTTCGAATGTGACAACATTAATTCTTAAGTTATAGAAAGCATTGAATACAGACATTTTGGTGGAAATAACTACATGATACGCGTAAATACGATAAAACAAGAAAATTTGGAACCGTGAAAATAACTCTGAAACAATCTCAAAGTTCAGAAAATCCGGCAGTTATGAGATGGATAGCTGGAGTTCAACCCTTCTGCTTTCGTCAGAGGGTTCCTCGTTTTGTTAAAAGTTCAACTTCAATAATGTTTGTTAACAATTACTGAGACGGTTTTTAAATGGTTTAAATTGCGGCTACTGAGACGTGCTTTAAATGGGAGCGCAGCCATGCACCACCAATTTTGTGCACCAATAAGCTCTGAATCGAACGCATTGGATCTCCCCCAATCAGCCGTGAATGGAACCTGCTATCCGTATGATCAGAGCTGGGCAGCGCTACTTTGAAATGTAGCGGCGCTACCGCTACATGCTCTAAATGTAGCGGGCGCTACCGCTACCGCTACACCCACTAGATTGTAGCGAGCGCTACCGCTACCGCTACAGTAAAATGTAGCGCCGCTACATTAGCCGCTACAATGGCAAAAATTATCGGAAATCTCTAAATATTTATTGTTCTGCTATTGGGATTTACTCATAAACATTTAATGATAATAAAACATTTTCAAAACATATCAATGCAACTTTATTGCAATTAACCTAACCGAACTAGTACGGGTTAGATACAGTAAATAAAAGTTACAGTTATTTTTATGTTTTACCTTCCCTACATGGATGTGAACTTTAATCTACCAATCTAAAAAATTATCCACATATACATATAAAAATCAGTCTTTTATCTGTATATATATGTGTGGATTATCTTTGAAATTGGTAGATCAAAGTAGACATCCATGTAGGGAAGGTGAAACATAAAAATAACTGTGTAAAAATAACTGTAAACAAACTGAAACATGAAAAAATATCTGTAAGTGGTAACTGGTAACAACTTAACAAGTAACAACTAACATGTTGACATTAGTAGCAGGCTGAGGTTGACAACATTACACCGAAATCTTTCGTACAGTTTTATCCTGTAATTTATATAATGTATGTATCATGCTGGTTTTTAAATAATATTTAATACTATTGAGTAAAATCTAAGGGCTTTATCTATAAATGTAGCGGTAGCGCTCCGGCGGCAAAACCTCGTATCGCTACTGAAATATGTAGCGGGCGCTACCGCTACCGCTACCGCTACATTGCCTTAAATGTAGCGCCGCTACCGCTACTGAAAATGTAGCGGCCGCTACCGCTACATTGCCTTAAATGTAGCGCCGCTACCGCTACTGAAAATGTAGCGGCCGCTAGTAGCGGCCGCTACATGTAGCGCGCTACTACCCACCTCTGTCCGTATCCTACCCTTGACATCATTCTGCTTTGAATATTTTGAGCTCTACACCCCCCATTTTGCCTTCTATTGCTCATACGAACCTTGCAGCCAGTTAGTCATCGAACGTGAATTTTTACAGCTTACCCAAAATCGTTTTCTTATTTAAAATAAAAAATTTCATATTTTAGCGGTTACATTTGTAGTTTATCTTTATGCCAAAGCAAAACAAGTCACAATTTAAAGGCACTTTTCTTGATTTCGGAAATAAGTACATTACAAAATATTGAGTTTCTGCAATTTACCACCCTGTTTTCTGTTTGTTTTCACTCATGTAGACTTAGCAAAATTGAACACTGAACAAAATGAATAAATTTGGTAAGCAACGGATATGGATGGGCAGGGTGGCCCAGTGGTTAAAGTTCAGAGTACCAAGATTGGAGCAGAGAGGCGCGGGTTCGATCCCAGCTCTGTGCGTCTGTCTCTGGTCAGAATCGGCAAGGAGGCCGGGCGGTTACGCAAAGCAAAAATTGAAGCAGTGAGTTGCGAAGTTCGAGCCCGCAACAAGCTGTGGATGTTCTGCGATGTTAAGAATCGGCGACAGGCCTACGGCCTAATAAACGCTGAAAGCGATATTATTATTATTATTATTATAACAAAAAATGTTGTTTTATTACGAATTCTCGCCCAAATCTTATTCAAGATTTGGGTTTGTTTGGGATTTTGGGATCAAATTATCAAGATTTATCTCTTGATAATTACCTGTTTGTGGTCGCGAGCTATTAATCTGCTGACGTGTCAAAATATTGACACTGAATCATTCTTACTGGCTATCCAGTTGCACATTTTTGATTTCGGTATTCCTCGGCGCAAAGTTAGCGACAACGGATCCCCCATCACTGCATCTTACAAATTTATTGCAGCTTCTCTGGCAGAACCCGTGGTGCAAGCCGTCTTGGAGGAGAGTCATATGAAGGTGATGCAATTTTGTTCTTGTCCACTAAGTGCCAGCTACCTGGGTGGTGTGATGGAGACTTTGGTCAAGCAGGTTAAGCACGTAATAAATGCGGTAAAACTAAATTAACTTACGACAATTTTGTATGCCTTGTTCACGAATGCAGAAGGCTGATCAACAGCCCATTGTTGTTAAATCCTTATTAGTGAACCATAACGTAGATAAATCTGTTGACGCAATTACCCCCGAAATGCTATGTAGAGGGTGCTATATTCCGTCTGTTCCTCTAATCATGTGCTCTCCAGATGGGACAGAGGATGACCCTGATTGACAGCCTACTCAGCCAGGCGTTGAGGAATCGTTCCAGCAGCGAACAGCCAAGCTGCGCAAAGTTAAAGAAGAGCTCAACCGGCTGCATAGTAGCCTTGTCGCACTGCAGTGAAAAACTTCGAAAAAAATATTGCTAAAAATGCCAAAAAGAATCCGAAAGCCTTCTTTTTGTACGCTAGTTCGAAGTGTAAGTCAAAGGACGGTATATCTGAATTGAAAGTAGACCAACGACAGATTTCCTCTGATGAGGGCAAGGCTAACGTTCTTAATCAGTTCTTCAACAGTGT